TGTCTGATCTAACTTACTGTAATAATATTTGTGCATTTTCCTTAGATGGGTTGTATGCGTGTTTGGGATTTTTGTAGTTGATGTAATGCTGATGGCAAAATGCAGGTGTAGAAGCAAGGGGATTCATTTTTGGCCCACCTATTGCATTGGCTATTGGGGCGAAGTTTGTTCCTATGAGGAAACCCAATAAATTGCCTGGTATGTCTTCTGCTTCTTACTTTGTTTCATAATGAACTGTACACCTCAGTCACTTCAAGTTGTTAACAGCATTGAAGCTTTGATCGGCTATTAAAAGATCCACAGTGTTGAACTGTTGATTATGATAATGTGGTTCATTGTTGATAATTTTGTGTTTTGTTTGATTCTGGTAATTACCAATTTCTCAAAGAGATTCAATAACAATACAATAGACTGTGATCTTTGTATTAACTGTTAAATATTTTGATCTTTATTAGGGGAGGTTATATCAGAGGAGTATTCTTTGGAGTATGGAACAGATAAAATGGAGATGCATGTTGGTGCTGTCCAAGCAGGAGAACGCGCTTTAATAATAGATGATCTTATTGCCACTGGTGGAACCTTGGTTGCCGCAATCAGGCTACTTGGTACATCAATTTAAATCTGAATTTTGAGACCCTTCTTATTTTCATCTTTATGTGCCATAATATGGTAGAGAATGGCTTTGTTGATCACAATCACTTTTTTTGTCAACTATAAGTGGGCCTATGATTTTAAGGAGTACGAGGAAGTGCCTTAGGGTTGTCTTCTCCTTGCTTTTTAACATCCTCTTGGTTCCGTTTATCTTGTTAGGGCATTGTTGTATATATGATTGGCTGTTTTTTTGCAGAGCGTGTAGGTGTGCATGTCGTGGAGTGTGCTTGTGTTATTGAATTACCCGAGCTGAAGGTATGTGTTGCTAATCTCAAGCCTACCTGCTGCCTGTTAGTCACTAATCTATTAAGCTAATGTTTCTTTTACCTTCCAAATTGGTCTCTACGATAGTGCTTTTATTTACACGGACTCTATAGTTTGAAACTTCTATACAGTTTGAGCTTCTAAACTTATTCCATAAATGTGCTATGGAGCAGTTTGTAGTTGGGCAGCATATCTAGGGAACAATTAGAATTCTAATTCAGCTAGAAGGGGAAAAACAGAAAATTAATTAAATAATAAAACAATTGTTAAAGCATTGTAAAAAAGGGAAAAAAAGTCTACCAGATACTGCTTGTTGTGGTTAAAACTGATGATGGGCTTTTGTGGTGCCATACTAGGTGAAAGAATGAATATCTTTGCTAGTTTTATATGACTGGCGCCTGAGCATGTTGTGGTAGACTATACGTTCTTAAAGATATAATAATTTCAATGTCTTCTTTATTACAACCGTAGCTGTTCTTTATGAGCATGATGCAAGGTTTGTAAAGGCACATTTCTAATCACATTCTTTCACTTGTTTTTGCCTCTGTTATGTTCATTGGAGATTTGTGCAATGGGGCCTATTGCATTTCTATTAAATAAAACTAGCAAAGTTTTATGGCAATGTAAGTTTCATGTAATCATTATTAGTAATAGCAAATTTCTACTACAACATTGAGGCATGGTTGCATGGATGAAAATCTGCATGGAAATTCTGGCCTGTGTTGACGAAAAGCCAATAACTACTTCTATTGGAGCTCTGAAATATAGCTTCATTCTCAATGTATAAACTGGTGGAGATTTGAAATTATTGACTTGTGTTTTTTGTTGGTTTTGGACGTCTCGTCTTCTGAGTCAAGCGTAAAATATACTATAATTTCTCCTGTCATTTGTGCCTTGTCAGTCACTTCTTTTAATGGTTTCTGGATTTATATTTCAGGGCCGGGAACGATTAGGAGACAAACCACTGTTTGTTCTTGTAAGCTCCACTTGATCTCACAAAAGATGTGGTGGAAGAAGAGATTGTTTGTTGGCTTTGTTGAGTGTTGCATCAAAGCTAGGACTTTAGCCAAGAAAGCCTAAGAAAACTACTTTGTTGAATAAAAGGACCACATTTGGTAAATTAAGGTCACATTAGATTGAACCAAGTATCATGACTTTGATTTTTACGTTATTGTTCCCTGTTTCTCTAAAGAGCTAGTATGGAGGACATTTTTATTTTGTAACAAATGCTTGATTTGCATTGTATCATTATGAGTGGAGCCGGTGGCCTTCATTGAAAGTCTTGTTGTTTTACACTACAAGACGTTATGTTATTAATCTGTCTTGTTTCCAAGCTGAATTCGCTTCTTCTCGAATGATCTCATTGGTACTGTTGTCTTTTAAGAGAACAAGTTCATAAAAGAAGAAAATTTACAGTGGCATGCCAGGGGAAGAGATGGTCTTAAACTTGCATGATATTTAAGGCCACGTTAAACGCTCATTCTGCAACATTCTACACCCTGTTTTAAGGCAACGGTAAGCAACTCGGTTTAATGGTAAATTTATGTTTTGCCCTCTAATTTTTTAAAATTTGATTTTGGCATTTAGCCTTTATGAAAAAAAATGATAAATCATGTTAGGGTCCTCCAAAAAAATTACTTGCTGTTATAGAATTTTGTAGTATTGCGCATTGTGAATTTGGTAATATTTTTAGTTTAAAATCTTATTAATTTTATTAGTTAGTATCTTTATTACCTTTTCAATTAATTAATTGGATATATTTATATTAGTTATGGTATTTCTATTTTTCATTATATATATGCATAATAGAAAATAAGTTAAACCATTTCATATCTAATATAAAATTTACATTTTTTAATGCATGCAGCATTTTTTTTTGTGGATTTAAAAAGAAGGCAAAGGCCTTGAATTAACTTAATCGTATGAAAAAAAATTATATATCGTTTGTAATAATGATGATAAATTTAATACTTTTTATACTCATTTTGAATGGCAAAAAGAAAAATAGTTATCAAAACTTAATCCAACTCGCAAGGCTTTTGAAACTTTTTTAATATTAATAAATCATTTTTATTTACACTAAAATATTGTAGTAACAAATGATTTGTACTGCTTTATTAAGTTTGTACTAACATCATAACTCAATTTCAAATATTGCCTAATCCCTTTCCTGTTTTGGTGACGGGGGATGATACTGAGATGGTGGTCGCTGGTCATGCTCAGAGATTGGATGCCATTCGAGACGAGAGCCTTCGCCCAGGGTATTAAATTGGTCATAGATAAAGGTTAGCTGTCATCAGCACCCATCGAGGGAGATACTATGAATATCGTTGATAGACTTGTTAATTCAAGATCGGATTTACCCTTAGTGAGACTATACTTACGGGAGGTTCTGAATTTCATCACTAACAATAACATACTTCGAATCAAGTTTGTAAAATGAGACACAAATGCCGCGGCACATATTTTATATTCCAATGAACACTAAATTGTAATTTATCATTTTAGTTTAGTTACGAATATCCTAATTATATCTAAGTTAATATATTGAACAGTGTTTACCCCCCAATAAATATTGTTTATTCATCCAAAAGAAACCACCAGTTCAAATAAACTTTACAAACAACCTACACCCACAAACAAACCTACAAAAACCCAACAAAACCATAGACTAAAGCTAAAACTCCCATTCAGCCGTTAACAACGAATTAGGGCTACAAACTTTGCTATAACCATCAAGTCTTAAATGAGTATCCTTTTATATCTGGGAAAAAATAACAATGAACTGTCTTTCACCCTTCCCATGGAATCTACTATTCTTATCTTGTCAAATATAGTAATTAAAAGCACACCAAACTATCCGAATAATAGTAGCTTGCAGTGACTTCCTCTTACCATACTTCTGTACACAATTAATTAACTCCATCCAGCAATCATGCAAAACAAAGAAACTACAAGCCTGCAAAATCAGCCGCCAAACTTGTTTGGTGTAACAACACTCGGGAAATAAATGATCACGCGTCTCCAAAACAACACCACATGGCAAACATATTCTTTATAACCGACTGAAGGATTTCTTAATTAAACTTCACCAAATTGAAAAATCAAAATAAACATTTTGTAAGCGTGAACTAATAATAGCTCATGCCTATATTATTATTATTATTATTATTATTATATTATTATTATATTATTATTATTATATTAAGCTAAGTCATGCCTATATTATTGATGAAGAAAGGCGCATGATTTTTTTAAAGAAGTAATATTAATTTTTCACACCTTTCCCTCTTATTATTTATATTTTGTATTAATGCAAGTAAAATACTTAAATCTACATGAATACAAGTAATTAATTTTTAATATCAGATTGTGACAAGTTAACAATCCCACTTTTCTTTAAGGTCCTCCGACATGTTTGTTTGGAAAGGTCGTGCAATGGTCGGGACAGGTTCCAAACAACACCTATGTGTCAGTCTGAACGAGGGTTTCAACAGTAATAATTTCGGCAGGTGGTTATCAGGATTTTAAATAGTGGTCCGCTACGGTCATTATATAATAATAATGGTGCCGACCGAAATCGTTTTTGTATGACTGCAATACCCGCAATGAATGCAATAATACCCGATATGTCTGCAATTGCGATAAACGCAACTGAAAATATGACCGCAATCGTAATTTAAATCCCTTGTGTGGTTTTGGCTTTGTTCATGATTCTGTTACAGTGGCTTGGTGCATATGAAATTTTCCTTTGCACTGGCTTAAGGATGGGAGTTAAACCGTTAAAACTGATCAGCTGTAAAGAGACGATTTTGTACAAGTCTTACCGATATATAATATTTGATTGATCATAGGTTGCAAGATAAAAGCAAAGGAACAACCGTTGGTTTCTTGCCAGTTGCCATCTAGGACAGGAGAGGAGTTTGGTCGTTTCGTGTCGGGATTTTTAAGTTCATTTTAATTAAAGAATGTCAGCCTGAATTCCCACGATGTGCAGGCCCGTCCTATAGCTGTAGGAATTAAGAACGCAATAAACTAATGTAAGTCAATCCTTGCTAACATTCTCCTTCTGGTTTGGGGGTATAAATGTCTCTACTTGTTTGCTCACCTCAACCATCTTTTCCTCATCAATTTACAAGTGATAAAATGGAGTCGCTTGCAGTTTTTCGCGATGAAGACTCATTTAACAGAATGTTCTCATATGAAGAAGGTCAGCTTAATTTCATGCAGCAAATTTTTCATCAGTTTTCCTTTTCTCCGATGCACGATGAGTGGTCGAGCTTGGTAAATCCGTCGACATTTTGTCCTAATCCTGAAGCCAATATGGGCGTTGCTGGGGTCAATGAGAGTTTGTTCTGTTCTTCCAACGCTCTTGATTCTAATTTCCACTACCAATCTCAGGAAAGTAGTTGGAGTAGCAATTCAAGTAGTAGTGTCTTTGTTCCCCAGCTAAATTATGAAACCGATTTCCTTGGTGATTCTAATCATATTGCTGTAACAAATGGTATCACCATGTCCTTGGATATTTCAACGGACATTGACGGGGTAAATGATAAAATTACCGATTCGTTTCCCCCTGCATTCACCAACATTGCAATGGGAGACGCTGTTAATGTCATTGAAGACTTGAGCACTGATAATGCTAACGAATTGCTTCTCAAGAGGAAGTTCGATGTGCTGGAACTGCATGATGAAGGGTATAAAATCAATACCGAATCATCTCAGACCACAAAGAAAAGAGCTCGGCTTCCAAAAGATGTAAGAGGACAAATGAATTTTAAGATATTACATACATACATGTCTATAATCTTCATTATAGGAGTTGTAATTCATGGTTTCAATGTGCAGTCGAATAAGAACCGGAAGAACAATGTAAACGGCAATGAAGAGAGCAACATTGGAGGGGACGGACAGAGTTCTAGCACCTCTAGTTCAGATGATGACAATGTTTCTCAAGCTCTTAACTTAAATGGAAAGAGAAGAACCAGCAGAGGGTCTGCAACTGATCCCCAAAGCCTCTACGCAAGGGTAAGAATTTTCCTGGCTATATCTCGAAATATCTAAATCTTTTTTTGTTTGGTCATTTCAGAAAAGAAGAGAAAGGATTAATGAGAGATTGAGACTTTTACAGAGCCTTGTCCCAAACGGAACTAAGGTAATTAAGCAATATTATACTTTCATAAATATTTTGTTAATGAGATTTCCCTAGCTACTTCACAAATAAGATCCACATAAACTCATGTCCATTGATGATGATAATACAGGTTGATATCAGCACGATGCTTGAAGATGCCATTCATTATGTGAAGTTCTTGCTATATCTCGATTCCATTGGCAGAAGCCGAAATATCTAAATATTGTTTTGTTTGGTCATTTCAGAAAAGAAGAGAAAGGATTAATGAGAGATTGAGACTTTTACAGAGCCTTGTCCCAAACGGAACTAAGGTGATTAAGCAATATTATACTTTCATAAATATTTTGTGAATGAGATTTCCCTAGCTACTTCACAATTAAGATCCACATAAACTCATGTCCATTGATGATGATAATACAGGTTGATATCAGCACGATGCTTGAAGATGCCATTCATTATGTGAAGTTCTTGCTATATCTCGATTCCATTGGCAGAAGCCGAAATATCTAAATCTTTTTTTGTTTGGTCATTTCAGAAAAGAAGAGAGGATTAATGAGAGATTGAGACTTTTACAGAGCCTTGTCCCAAACGGAACTAAGGTAATTAAGCAATATTATACTTTCATAAATATTTTGTGAATGAGATTTCCTTAGCTACTTCACAATTAAGATCCACATAAACTCATGTCCATTGATGATGATAATACAGGTTGATATCAGCACGATGCTTGAAGATGCCATTCATTATGTGAAGTTCTTGCAGCTCCAAATTAAGGTAATTCGGAAAAACAACAACAATGGATGGATGAAATAAAACCCTTGAAACAAACAATGGTTTAATCTGGCCACAGAGATGATTTTAAGTGAAATTGATCTAATATGATGGTAATGTTCCTTTTTTTTACCTTGATTGCAGCTCTTAAAACTCTGATGAACTGTGGATGTATGCTCCCATTGCTTACAATGGCGTCGATATCAGTCTCAACAAGAAAATCTGAACTCTTTTATGAACAGCTTTGATGAACTGTGGATGTATGCTCTCATTGCTTACCATGGTTGCAGTTTTAGTTAACTATCAACAAATTTCTAAAAGCAAAATAAATTAATATTATATATAGTTGCTAAATCTTAAAATTGAGAAATCTTAATGAAATTAATTCCATTTTTGGAAGAGGAGGCAATTTATTTTATATTTTTGATATTGTAAATTTTCATTAATTTTTATTTTATCTTTTCATTTAAAGATCATTTTTAAAAAAATAATAATTAAGCCCATCTCTACATCATCATTCACATGTAGATGATTAACGATAATTTTCGCTAAATGACAACATTGACGCAAATCAAAATTTTGACAATATTGATGCAATTAAAAACGATAAAATATGGGGTCATTAAAAGTTTGATTAAAACGATGGAAACTAGAGAAAACCCTAACACAGGTAATACCAATTACGATAACTATCTCAGCAACTATGGAGGACGGCCAGCGGAACCTTCAACGAACATAGGCCTACCGCCGGTCCTGGAAAGACCAGGATCCCCAATTTTAATCGACGACCAGCAGGCACCAAAAAAAGCAAGATCAGAAAAGGAGTATACGCCTGATAATCCCATACAAACAGAAGTCAACATGGAATATGAGGAAGACAGCAATGATGTACAAAACCCTTATCGTGCGGTATGAAACCATCTTATGCATCCATGGCAGACAAAAATACTACAGCAGCCCAAAAAGAAAATCTAGGTTTCGACCTTGACAGAAACGAGGTGGTAGTTTTAGAAGAAGATTGTGAAATTGACGAGTCTGGATCTTTCCCCACTATCAAATTCTCTGAGAGAGTCCATGATCAAATCGATAAAAGTATGAGCACACCGTTATAGTTCGCCTCCTTGGCCGATCAATTGGTTACAAAACCCTTCATGTCAGAATCCATGCATTATGGAAACCTCGAGGAGAAATCCAACTAGTCGATCTTGAAAACAATTATTACCTAGCCAAATTTGAAGACAAAAGAGACTATGCGGATGTACTAACCAAGGGGCCGTGGACGATCTATGGAAACTACCTAACAGTTCAACCATGGAGCAGGACCCTCTCGACATCGGAAAAACACCCCTCCCACGTTGTAGTTTGGATTCGTCTTCCTGGTTTACCTTACAGCTACTACTGCAAAGCTTTATTTCAAAGAATTCCAGGCATTGTTGGTCAAGTAGTAAAAGTCGACTACAATACCCTAGCTGGGGCGAGAGGCAAGTTTGCAAGGCTAGCAGTATTGGTGGATCTAAACAAACCCTTAAAGGCATGTATTGGCATCGACAATTTTATTCAAAAACTAGAGTATGAGGGACTCAGCCAGATATGCTTCACTTGTGGGGTGTATGGTCATGCTAAAGAGGCTTGCCTAACAACACAACCAGCCTCAACCAGTACCACCAACAGGGTCGAACAAAAAACGAACAAAACCACTCCGTCCAACAACTCGACAGAATTATACGGACCTTGGATGATAGCCACTAATTGACGTGGATGATAGCCACTAATTGACGGAGGAAGACGAAGACAGCAGTAACAAAGACAACTACACATGAAAACCAGAGAACCAATCCTACAGGCTCCAGATATGCGGCACTTACGGAGCAACGATAAAACAGCCTTAGAAGACATCCAAAAATTCAAAACAATTGTGGAGAAATGGAACACAGATGTTTTTGGACACAGGCAAGAGGAAAATGACCATCAAAGCCCGACTGAAGGGTATTGAGAGTGCATTACAACAATACCAGTCGAAATTCCTCGAAGACCTGGAATCACAACTCCAATCAGAACTCATCTCAGTGTTAGAACAGGAAGAATTATTATGGAGACAAAAAACTTGTACACAATGGGCTTTACAAGGCGACCGGAATACTAAGTTCTTCCACACCTCGACTATGACTCAAAGGAGGGCGAACACCATCACCTCCTTAAAAAATTCCGAAAGAAGCTGGTGCACGGACCAAGAGAAACTCGCAATGTTAGCTCGTGACTTCTACCAAACATTATTCTCCCCTTCTAAATCAAATGAACTCAACTATGAAACAAGAGGAAAATTCAATGAATTATTAGCGATGGATAGGCAAGCTCTTAATGAGCCTATTTCAAATGAAGAAATTTGAAAAGCAATCTTTGACATGAGTCCCCTAAAAGCACCTGACATCGACGGATTAAAAGCTACATTCTACCAACATAACTGGGAAACAGTAGGTCCATCTGTGTGCACCTACTTACGCCAAATTTGGGAGAGTGAAGTTATTCCACCATAGTTAAACAAAACGCTCCTCATTCTTCTACCTAAAGTCCTCGCACCTAAAATAATCAGTCAGTTTCGACCAATCAGTATATGCAACGTTCTCTATAAAACGTTGACAAAAGTCATTGTTAACAGACTGAAACCTCACTTACTGAATTGGGTATCGGAAAATCAAACTAGCTTTGTACCAAGAAGAGCCATCACGGACAACATAGTAATAACTCAGGATGTAATTCACTCCATGAGACGGAAAATAGGATAGATCGGCTGGATGACAATTAAGATCGATTTGGAAAGGGCATACGATAGATTGGAATGGGAATTCATCGATGACACATTATCGGATATAGGCCTTCCCGACTCACTCCGGAACATTATAATGCAATACGTCTCCACAGTATCGACACAGATACTTTGGAATGGGTCAGCGACAGAATTCTTTCAACCCACTAGAGGAATCAGGCAAAGCGATCCACTATCTCCATCTCTTCGTGCTCTGCATGGAGAGACTTGCACAAAATATCCAAGGCAAAATCGACCAGAACAGACGGAAACCATTCAGAACATCCAAGCACATGCCACGTATTTCTCACATATTTTTTGCCAATGGCGTGATATTATTTGCTGAAGCATCAATGGACCAACTAGCCATCATCCGCGAGACCCTCAATCATTTTTGTATGACATCGGGCCATAAAGTCAGCATTCCAAAGACCACCGTCTATTACTCCAAGAACGTTGCAAGTGCACTGCGATCGCAGATAAGCAACGAATTCGGATTCTCAGAAGTGGCGGATTTAGGCAAATACTTGGGTGTACCTCTATTACATAACCGAGTAACTGTGGCATCCTATGAATACCTTGCACGTATGATGCAAAATATACTGAATGGATGGGCTGCAAAAAGCTTATCATGGCAGAAAGAATAACTCTCGCAAAGGCAGTCCTTGCGGCAATCCCGATCTATACAATGCAAACAACGGTACTGCCAAAGAAAATCTGTACCAAACTGGAAAGCCTAATCCGAAGATTCATATGGAGCAATACTGCAGATGGAAAGGGCATTCATCTAATAAATTGGAACGATCTTTGCACGCCCACTCTCAAGGGGGTCTTAAATTCAAGAAGTTGAACATACAAAACGAAGCATTCATTATGAAACTAGCTTTCAATATAGTAACAAAAAATGATGCTCTATGGGTTCGGTTCATTCTAGCGAAATACAAATGCCATGAGAGGATACCAAGGGAGATGATGCTCTATGGGTTCGGTTCATTCTAGCGAAATACAAATGCCATGAGAGGATACCAAGGGAGTTAAAGAACAGCAATGCCTCTAGACTATGGAAAGCAATAAACCTTGTTTGGAATGACGTTAAAGAAGGTTTAATTTGGAACATCGGCAATGGCCAAGACACAGACTTCTGGCGGGACCAATGGATTGATGGCATAGACCCTCTCATCTCCTATGTCCAACCGCATATTTTAGTCAGAATAGGTAGTGAGTCAAAAGCTAGAATGGTAGATAATGCGGGTGATTGGTTATGGATTATTTCCAACATGTACTTCCAGCAAATATTTTGATGAGGGTGGCAGTTGTAAAGGGTCCCTTGGCATCGCTAGCTGGGTACACAACGGGGTGGAAAGGGAATATAGGCAATTCACCATCAAATCTGCCTATGCAATTAGAGGCGGCCCCCACGTGAACAACAAAGAAACCTTATGGAATAGCATCCACAAGTCAAAGGACTTCAAAGAATCAAGATTTTCATATGGCTCATATGCAAGAGAGAATATATATATTCTTTAACAATTTAAGTCAGATAATATATCTCGTAGTTTGTCATTTAGTTACCCAAAAAAAAGAGAGAAAATATATTGGTAATTTTAGTCGAGTACGGGAACAACTAATTTTAAGTCTTAGAGGCTGTTTGTTTACTTCAGAATAATTAAGCGCTGAATGATTCAAATGTTGAATGATTCAGATGCTCTGTATGAATTTGCTCTGAATGTGACATGTTGTTTGATAATGGCTCTGAATCATTCAGAATGTACTTTGATATTAAATCATTCAGCACTGTTTTGCTGAATCAGTCATCATTGAATCATTCAGAGGTGAGAAACAAACACGCTTGTAGACATCCGTTTTTGTCCGGATCAAAAAAAATATCATTAAATATAATAATAATAATAATAATAATAATAATAATAATAATTATAATTAACCTACCCACTAAACCTAAAAATCCACTCAATCCACCACCATATCATGTTTCATGCCTTCACCAACCTTTCCATCATTCCATGTTTTCTTCCACCCCATGTTTTCTTCCATGTTTTATTCTTCCACTCATAATAAGTATTTTCTTATGCTATATATATGTAAGGGGCATACAAGAGGGAGAAGGCAAGGAAGCCATACGTGGAGGGGAGCCAGACGTGAGAGGGAGAAGAAAAGGAAGAAAAAAAATAGAAAACGACATTTATTGCAATCTGTCGAATTCTTACCGGTGATATGGACCTCCGATTAACATTCTGAACGGTCAAAATTTGCGCGATGTCAACACAAACAATATACTAAAAAATCAAGATGATCTGACGGTGGATGATGGCAGATCGGAGAAAACAAATCCGGAAGGTTTTGGCCTCTTTCCGACGATCGGGATCTCCGATCAACATTCCGAACGGTGAAAATTTGTGTGATGTCAACACGAATAACATATTGAAAAATCAGGACAATCGGACGGCGGACGACGACATATCAGAGAAAATAAATCTAAACAATTATCTTTGTATTTTTCTAATTTTGGCACTTTAGTTTATGT